TTGATCGCGTCCAGTGTAGTCAGACTTTAGCTGTTGTAGACACGGTGTTACTCACCTATTGAGAAGAAACAAAGCAACCTCGGCGTCCGATCGCAGGCCTCCGCTCCTTGAGTTCTCTCCAGCGCTGGAAAGCTGATCCGATATTTACACGGGTCCTACTTCTTGCCTTATTGTTCCGCAGACGTTTTCCTCTTTTGTTTTTTTATCCGCCATCTCTATCTTTCTGTCGCTCGGCTCGGCTAATGTCCGTCCCATGCACTGAACGCGCTCTCCTCCACATCACGAGTAGACACGCCCCTTATTGCTGATTGGCTACAAGTTTGTTTTGCGATTCGGCCCGAATCAGTTTTCTAAAGTGTTTTTGAAAAATCACTTACTCTGCCTTTAATGTTATTTAATACCTTTTCTAACTGCAACACTGCCATCTGTAGGTGGGTTTCTATTATTACTAAATCAAGTAAAGAACAAGAATCACATAAACACTTTGCCTGCAATAAAACATTCTGGTGCTCAAACCAATGAATGATATTTTGTATCAGAACGCACTGGTAGCTTGCCTGAACACAGATATGCACACAGTGGAACACACCAGTAACTTGCTTGACTGTCTTTATGTGTAGCTGAGGCCTGCAGCACCACAGAGGATGGAGATGAGCCTTTGCTCTGCCCAACTGGTTACGAGTGCCACATTATCAAGCCGGGAAACCCATCAGCTGGGATCCCAAACCGAGGCCAGTGCATCAAACAGCGTGGAAACTCAGGTCTGAAGGGGCTCCTTTATCCAAACTTTCATTCATACATTCATCACGCCATCCACACACACGTTATGTGTAATGTGTATATATAAACATTGTTTCAGAAAACGTCTAAGCAAGATTACATTCACACATTCAACAGCAGATTTTATAATTAATATATTTAAATAAAAATATTAATACCATAAACATTTAACTGTTCTCCCACTAGATGGACGTAGCCTGAGACACAAGTCCTTCAAAGATTACAAGGATTATTTAGGTTAGTACGACCACCAATTTATTTCGTGTTTCAGCTGTAGGGAAGGGAAGAATAAAAGCGGCCATTATTAATAGAATGACAATGAATTGAATCTTTATTCTTCAGGAAGTAACTCCAACAATGCAGTGAGCTATGAGAAACATCAGCACAAGCATTTGGGCTGAGACAGGTGAGTTGAGTTTCACCACTGAATCCCAACTTTTGAATCCTATTTTTTGTGATTTAATGTTTTACTTTTTCTCATTTAGGTGACTGAAAGTTAACCAGTAACCGGTGACCCTTATACTTGAACCCCAACCATCAAATCCAACAGAACTGCACAAGCCTTTCTCTTCAGCTCAAACCAGAGATCGGTTCATATCTGGTGCTCTTTTTCTTAGGCGCTTAATGTGGAGTGACAGAAATGCAAAGCTAAAATTTCCTACCTCTTATAAAAGCCAAAAACAGACCACAGAAAGTATCAAAGAACTTATACAATAACATGTCTTATACATATGCCTACTTCGGGTAAAAAAGCAGAATTAACTATATGTGAGTTGTGTTGAAGGAAGATACTTTGTGTGGTTTTTATGCTGCTGAGTCTGAACTCTTTTTTTTCACTTTAAACACCAAAAACAGCTAGTTAATGTATGCTGAATGCTCAGTTATACGGTGGCCGCGAAGTGCAAAGCAAATCACAACTCTGAAAACAAAATAACAAATTACAAACCCAAATGCAAGTCTAAAAAACTAAATAACAATTCAGAAAGCACAACAACAATTCAGAAAACATTATAACAAGTCAGAAAACACAATGACAAATTCGAAAACAAAATAACAAGTCAGATTGCATTTGCGTTTGTAATTTATTTTGTTTTCAGAATTGTGATTTACTTTGCATTTCCTGGCCACCGTACAGTTACTATGTCTGTGGATTTAAATTTTGGTACAGAAATGCTCCATAAATCAGCACATACTGGACTGGTGTCTTACCTCAGGCCCGCCCTGAGTGAGCTGTCATCAGTCCGCCATTGTTTCACCGCTGGAGCAGATTTAGACAAGAATGACTCCTAATAAGTGATTGAGGTGTTCTGTTGTTGGATGTAATAGTGAACATAGCAGTCTTCATTTACTCCCGACATCTGAGCCGCTGAAGACGCAGTGGATTACTTTTGTTTTTGAATGGAATGCTCCCAGATCTGCCTAAATGTGTCTATGTTGGCGCAAATCATATATATATATATAATATCATTACCTCCCCTGGCACGTTTTGGTTTACTATTTTATTTTTTGTAGTTATTTTTTCCTTTTTCACCCTTATTTTTATTGTTTTGTAAATGGTTTAAATACTTTATACATACGTATAATGTGTTATATTTGCAACTGAACAAATTTTGATTCTAAATCTGATTTATGTAATTAAATTGTAGCTACATTGTAATTATAGCTTTAACTGGCATATCGCACCTACATATTATTATAATTATTGTTTTATTTTGTTTCGGGACCTTTGTTTTGAAATTAATTTTTTGTAGAGCTTCCGTTCCGGGTCAGGGGTAACCAACGTGGTGTGTCTTGCAGCTCAACGTGTGAGCTGCTTCTAAGTGGTAAAACATCTGAAAGAGAGTAATATATAAGAAAAGAAGGTAAGGCGAAAGACTTTGTCATTTTGAACTTGCATTCAGTTTTTCTCGGGTCATTCGGCATGAAGTATGTGCCACCTAAATCTGTAGTTAATCTACTTCAGAAAGACATTTTCATGGACAAGCCAAAATATGATGCGCTTAGTCGAATTGTCAGATAAATAAGCAAATTATGATATTTTTAAAAATAGTTTTATTTGCAGTTATATAAACATTTATGCTCCTCTTGTCGTTCAGGATCTCTGTATTGACCAGTCCGCACTGATTCAACTACTTGATCAAAATAGCAGACGCTTCTTTGACTAAAACAATGTTCTTATGATGTCTACAGATCTCAGATCAGCGATGGGGGAGTTTAAAGTTCACCGGGTTCGGTTCTTTGATTACATGCCCTCGGGAATCAGAGCCTTGGCTTTCAACCAGGATACCGAAAGGATGGCAGTGGCGAGGATGGACGGATCAGTGGAGGTTTTCCACTGTTCAGACAGATTTTTCCAAGAAAAGGTTCGTTCAGTCATATTTGGCAAATTGATGCTCATAAGACACCTCTGTCTTAGTATTGGGGACCAGATATATGTTGATAAAATGGTTTTTGATCAGCAGACTTTTTAAAGATGCTTATTTATGTTTCCCATGTCCACAGATCATCCCTGGTAGAGAGCAGTTTGGGATTGAAGGCCTGTCCTGGGTTGGAGAGCGTCTGTTCAGTGCGGGACTAAACGGTGGAATAACTGAGTATGATCTGACAAACCAGAAAGTGAAATACACCATAGATGCGTATGGAGGGCCAATTTGGACCATTGCAGGCAATCAGCAAGGAACACACTTAGCGGTAGGTTGGGTTCCAATAATGCTATGTGTACATTAACAAAAATCAGCTGCGCTTAATGTATATATGTCATTGCATTAGATAATGAAAAATTTATTTAAAAACAAATTAGATTTATTTTAAGGTAAGATAATCCAAGCAAACACTTGTGAAAAAGAAGTATGCATAATTGTATTGAATGTGCACTTGTAGTGTACCTCAAACCTAAAAAATATATTTAAAAAAGCTTTACTTGCATATTATATAATACTAATGAAATAAAAGGCCACTTAATGGTACTTAAAGAAAGTACACTTTTATGACTATGTTTCTCTTATTAATCACTCTTAATTATCACTCTTCAAGTTCAACTGTTTGCATTTGAAGTAAATTTAAACTATAACATATTTTCATTTAATTGTAAATAAATATTACATTCAGTTCACACGTAAGTACATTCTTGTTAATTATATTATTCCTGTAGTAAGTGCTGTTTAAATGTGTGCTAAAGTGTACTTCATAAAAAGACGTTTGTTCAGTTTTTGTGTTTTTAACTCACTCTTCAAGTTCAACTGTTTGCATTTAAAATCTATTTAAATTATATTTTCATTTAATTGTAAATAAATATTACATTCAGTTCACACGTAAGTACTGTGTGTACAGTAAGTGCTGTTTAAATGTGTGCTAAAGTGTACTTCATAAAAAGACGTTTGTTCAGTTTTTGTGTTTTTAACGTTTGTAGGTTGGTTGTGAAGATGGAACTGTGAAACTGTTTGAGGTGAATGAAGACAACATACAGTTTGAGAGAAATCTGGACAGGCAAAAAAGTGAGATTGTGGTCATATTTGAAACTTTCATATGAATGTCATGATTTGTTATTGCATTTAAAAAAATAATTAAATCTGAACATCTGATTACCTGTTCCATAGGCCGCATTGTCTCTCTGTCTTGGCACCCATCAGGCTCCAAAATAGCAGCTGGAATGATGGATATGATCCAGGTTTTTAATGTAGAGACAGGTAAACAGCGTCTTGCTTCCAGAATGTATTATTGTATTCAGTGATGTAGAATTAGTACATAAACTGGAATATATGAACGTAATCAAGTGTTTGATATGTTTTTCAGGCCACTCTATGCACAGGATGCTGGCTGACAGAGGGGTCGGGACATCCCGCAGTAAGGAGTGTGTGGTGTGGAGTGTGGTCTACCTCTCAGATGGGACAATCATCACTGGTGACTCTGTGGGAATGGTCAAATTGTGGGATGATCAAACTGGTACACTAATCAAAAGCCATAATGTCACAAAATGTGATGTGTTGGCATTATCAGTCTCTCAGGTGAGAAGATTGCTGCGGGTTTGTGAGCAAATGTTATAGTTTCACCTTTATGACTTTATTCACTATTGCTCAAAACTTTGGGGTCAGTAAATGTTTTTTTTGTTAGTTTTTTTAAATTCTCACCAAGGTTGAATAGATACGTTACAAATAAGTAAAAACAGTAATATTGTGGAATATTATTACAATTTAAAATGACAAATTTCTTTTTTTAATATACTTAAAAATGTAATTTATTTTCTGTGATGGCAAAGCTGAATTTTCAGCATCATTACTCCAGTCTTCAGTGTCACATGATCCTTCAGAAATCATTCTATCATGTTGATATTTTTGTGGAAGCCATGATACATTGTTTCAAGATTATTTGATTAATAGAATGTTTTTAAAAAAAAACAGCATTTATTTGAAATATGAATGTTTTATAACATTACAAATCTTTACTGCCAACTTTAATGCATCCTTGCTAAATAAAAGTGTTAATTTATTTTAAAAAAATTAAATCCCCCAAACTTTTGAATCCCCCTTAAATCTTTCTCTTAAAAGAATACATGACATACTATAAGAATACGAACAGGATAACATCTTATTGTACCCTCTTGAATGACAGAATGAGGACAGCCTTGTTGCCGGGACATCAGAAGGAATTGTGGTACAGTTCCAGTTCGTCTCTATGGTTTTGGGAAAGGATGACAAAGAATGGGTCAGAACCAGAACATTTAGGAACCACACGCATGACATCAGAGCTGTGGCGGAGATCACGACGGCTGTGGTTTCAGGAGGTGAGCTTATTCTTAGATGATTCCAACCGAGCTGCCTCCATCACACATTTCATCATATGACTGAAGTATTTTTGTTTAAAATAGTTTAAAAGAGCATTCTCGTCTCAGGTATGGATGCACAGCTGGTTGTGAGACCTTTATTAGACAAGATCGAAGAGAGGTCAGCGGCCTCGGCTTTGAGGAAGATTCACTTTCCACATGTGAGTATTGTGAAACTGTGACTTTCACATAGACAACATGTTTGTAATTGATTCTTAATGAGAGGAACTTGTTCTGCTCTGTTGCATTGCAGAGGAGACTGGTGGCCTGTGCAAGGAAGTCAGGTCTGATGCTTTTCCAGTACCCTGGTCATCTGGAGCTCTGGAGACTGGGAGAGAGTGAAGGAAAAGGTGAGGATGATATTTAGTGTGATCCTTGATATAGAATAGATGTTTGGACACTCCTAATCTTTCTTTACAATTAATACTTCACACATTTTAGAAGAATAGTAAAGTAATCAGAAGCTATGAAATGGCATAGATGGAAATAAGGAAATTGTTTAAATTTTAAGTAGCTGTTTTCAACATTGAAAATAATAATAAATGTTTCTTAAGCACCAAATCACCGTATTAGAATGATTTCTGAAGGGTCATGTGACACTGAAAACTGGAGTAATGAAATTCATCAGAGGAACAAATGCTATTTTAGAATATATTAGAATAGTTATTTTAATAATATTTCACATTATTACTGTTTTTGCTGTAATTTTGTCCAATAAATGCAGCCTTGGCTAATTTTTAGCTTTGTCTTTCTCTCAACTGTCTTCATGAGGTGCATTCTGGGATGCTTTTATACAGTATTCCCATACCGAACATTTTTATTTCTGGTCAAACTCATGTTGGAATGTTTTATAAAACTAATATCAAGCAGAAAAGCATTAGCCTTTAAATGAGAAAATATTTTAAATAATTAGAAACAAGTTTAGTCAAGTGTCTCCAGACTTTTGACTGATAACACATGAAATCGTTTCTAGAGTTGACTTTAGTATGAAAGGTCAAAATTGATTTTGTGTTAACTATTGGTCTTCTGTTTTCAGGCATACCAGGAAGCAGTTT